GCTCTGGCAATGCCAGCCCAGGCAGGAATTGCTCATTGCCAAGATGCCACCCATGGCTGCCCTCTGGCAGTGGGAGCCATTCCCTGGGTGCTGTCCCTGCAGGCCTTGTCCCCAGTCCCTCTGCAGCTCTCCTGGAGCCCCTGCAGGCCCTGAAGGAGCTCTGAGCTCTCCCTGGATCCATCTCCTCCCCTCCTCTCTCACACCTTAAACCTCTAGAGCAAAGCTGCCAGCAGAATTACTGCAGAGCCACCAAAACAAACCAAAGTCTATTTTTAAGCCTTTTCCTGCCTTAAAATTCCTCCTTCCAGCAGGAGTTTTCCTCTAAGAAACAAGCCTGGAATGAGAGCACATCACAGGACAGTCCCAACTAAAGTGCACAGGGACAGATTTCTGGCACACCAACACAATTCCAGGGATGAATTTATTGAAGACTGGAACAAAATTTCTACAAAATTTCAACACTTCCTGCACTACTGAGGGCACTGCCATGCACAGCAGCTTGCAAAAACACCTCACTCTACAGATAATTAATATTTGCCCTGTGCCAAATCACATTTAAAAAGTGGAAGCTGGGAAACACTCACCAAGCAAGGAACTGAACCCCGCCCAAATATAATTAGCCTGAGCGGAATGATTAGCAAAATAAAAAGTCTGAAATTTCTCTGATTTTCAGGGGTGGAAAAAAAGGCAAGTCATCATTCAGGAAGGTTCAATTTCCATGGGAAATCACATCCATCACTCGCCTCTGAAGCAGTGGTTTGGATATTTTAGTGCAGGAATCCAGCACTCTGATGAGCTTGGCAGTATCTAAAATTTTATCATTATGCTGATGATTGAAGTTGTTCTTTTTGCTGCCTCAAAATACTTTTTACTTTGCCTGCACTTTTCATTTAAAGCAAACTTGAAAAATCAGATTTACTGAGCACCATCAGTATCATGGAGCCCAACAAATGAACAAAGTTCATGGATGGAGTGGATAAATTCTGCTCTCTGATGGGAGAAAGAAATTTATTTATTTATTTCCTCAGTGCCTGTTCTCAAAGCCATGGCATTAAAAATTTCCTCATTTTCTTGGAAATTAGAAAAAAATGCTAAACATTTGCTGAGCTTGTCTAGAATAAGCAGAGAAAAGGCAAAATTGAAATTTTTGAAAGCAAAATTAAAATTATCACCCACCGGTCCATTGAGCTGTGTGGATTTCTCTTATTCATAATTCAGAATTCTTCTCTTAATTATCATTTATTACCTGTCACCATTGTCAAGCTCAAGTTTTTGTGTCCATCCTCTCATTTTTATGTTCCCTTGAGTGTCACACTAAGACTGCAGCTCTGCCACATTAAATTCTCACAGTTACTGTTGCAAACTCTACAAAATTGTAAATTAATTGTAAATCAATGATCAGCAATTTTCTACATGAACTTTCCAAAATTGAAAATGCTTTTCAGATGAAACATTTCAAAATGTTCAAAAATCAAGTGAGGAACAACAGTTGGGTTGAGTAAAAGGAAGAGTAAAGTGGAATCAATGCAGAATTTTGGAAATACATTCTAAGTTGGGTCTAAATCACTGTTTAATTAATTACTCCAAGTCCTGTTAAATAGAAGCTGTAATTGATATATTGTTAGAGAGTTGATGGCATTAAAATACAATTTAAGAGTCATTCTTCAGCTCTAATCCCCAAAATAAGCCCAGATTTTAACTTTATATAGCAGCCCATCTGTACTGTGTGTGGATGTGTGAATAAATAATTTAGCTACAAGTTCAAATTAAGATTTCTTCCCTTCACAGCCTGAAATAAGGAAAAGAAATTTTGCAATCAAACCCAAATGTGCTCATGCCCTGCTCACAGAACAGCACAAAATCAGCTTTAGGCAGTTGGAATCAGACAACAAACAGCCCAAAGTTTCAGATATTTTTATGCTGAAATGTTATTTCATTGAAATATTGGGAAAAAATTGTGGTTCAGAGAAAGAAGTGAGAATATAAATATGTAAAATATACCAGCCATGGTAAAACAATCCATGAGGCAAAAAGTTTAATTTTTATTAAATCCCAACAGGATTTGTCTTAAAAATTAGCAGGTTGAAATGAAATTGTTAATAAATCACAAGTGCAGGGTCACGAATTTTAAATGTAGAGCTGAGGGTTTTGTTCTGTTTTCCAAAACAGCATCAATTTATTTGTATTTATATCACAAATTATTACAGCTTAAATTCCATGTTTCTATTTCCATGTTTCTTCCATTCTGCACATGGAAGACAAAAGAATTTACCTGAATGAGTTTCTTGAATGTTTTTAAAACACAAACCTCCACCAGAATTCAGCCCATAAAGACTTTAAGTTTCACTTATGGAAAAAGATCTGCATCTTTTACAGTTGTTCCATAAAAGACAAAAAAAAAATCTCTGCTTTGTTAAAACCAGATTTTTATAACTGGTGCAAAAAATTATAATAAAACATAATTAATAAAATTATAATTTTATTAAAATTAATAAAAATTATAATTGTAATGAAAAGTAATACTGAGTAAAAATTATAATAATAAAAATATACTGTGTAAAAATAATAAAACAACCAAAAACATTAATTAAATAAATAAAAATTGGAAAAGAAGTGCAGCTGTTAACAAATTGTGATGTTTTTCCTTTCTTTATCATTGTCATCATTAATTTACTTTGATATTTTACCCAATCTGCTCCCTCCCTTTGACAGACCAAGGCACAACCCTGCAAGGAGAATTCTGCAAGGTACTGAAAATGCTGAATTTGCAAACCAAATATTTCCAGATTTTAATCCCATTTAGCTGAAGTCTTCAGCATTCAAAAAGCTCAAAAATAACCCAAGTTTTTCCTGCCAAAGCCCAGTTGAGGAGAGGGGGAATTTCACTGGAATTTATTGATTTCCTTTATTGCTGATGCAAAAAAAAAAGAGAAAAGCCTGATTTCTTTTTTTCCCTGGGACATTAATACAGTCCTATCTAATTATATACTCCATCAACCTAACTCAATTAAATACCAGAATGCTGGGTAGGAAACAACTGAGATCTATGCAGACAGTTGAAGTAGTACTAATTACAGCCTAATTTTTTTTAATCCATCATAATGAGCCTTTCTGCCCATTCTCAGTGGAGGACAGTGTGGAATATTTGTATTTATCCTCAGTGTGTTTGTGTTATCTATTTACAACAATCACTGCAAGGAGAAATAAACACAGAAGTTCAGCAGATACCAAAATTTCTAAATTTAAAGAGGAATTTTTAATTGCTGATCATGGCTCTTGATCAGGCTTTCAGAATCAATCTCTGAGAATAAAAAATGAAATATTTCTAAAAAGGAGTATTTCAATATACAGAAAGGAACCAAAAGGGGTTTTACTGGTGTGAACTGGTTTAATACAGTATTTTACATATTCAAAACATCCTGGGAATTCCAGAATTCCCAGCAAACTCCAGAATTCCCATTTCAAGGTATTTTTGCTCAGCCCCTGGGATCACAGGGACCCCATCCCTGTGCAGCACAAAATGATTATTTGGGCTCCAGAGAAATCACAAAATTGAGCTTAAAAAGCAGCAAAAATCCAAGCTCAAGAGGTCAGAAGGGATTTAGAGCAACAGTTTGGATCAGCTCTTACAAGGGAATTCCAGCTCATTTGTTGTTGAACATGGATTTAATATCCAAACCTGCTGCAGCCCCCAGAGCTCTCCCAGGCAGTTTGTGCACAAAATTCAGTTATTCCAGTAAGCAGATAAATCAAATAAATGCATTAAGGCCGAGTTGGTTTGAAATATTGTTATTATTAATGAACCAACCTTCTCTTCTGAGCTTCAGAGTCTCTCCTGGCTCGTTCCAGTGCCAGTTCCTCAGCAATTCTTTTCTTCAGCTCTTCATCACTAACTGCAATTAAAAGAAAATTCAATGAAATGTTAACAGAACACAACTTATCCCCAATTACAGAAACAACTGCATAATACAGTGCCCTCCATTGTTTATTTGCTTTTTTTCCCTCACAGAAGTTGGAGTTTTTCTTGTGGTTTAACCATCTTTGAAATTTTAGCCTTTAAAAAACTTTCTTATTAAACATTTTTTTCCACTAAACAACATGGACTGTACATTAAATTAAATATTTTCTTCAGAAATTTGGCTTTGTAAAGTAAAACCATGGGGATGACACAGAGACATAAACAGTAAAGTCATAAAATGCAGCTTTTCATTCATATAGAATAAATAAATATTTTTGTGTAAAAAATCAAGTATTTTCAGATGTGTTTTATACAACAAAGCTCTTACAGCACCCTAAATATTATTATTTCTAGTTCCTAGTGAAAGATTTTGCCCCATATTATCCAGATTGGAAAGAATATTTCCTTCAGTTAGATTCTGTCAGATGAAGCAATAAAACTGGCTAAGAATTAAAAAATCAGGGAAGCAACTTCTTGAAGAATATGAACAGAGGGAGAGGTACCAACCCTACAAGGCTGAAAGACTTCTCCAAAAGCACCAAAATCCAGTTTAATCCTAATCCTGCCTGGAATAAAACCTGACCCACACTGAGCTGAAGCGATGCCATGATCTGAATTTCCAGAAAATTCCCTCACTCCTGCCTCAGATCCCCTCCATGGAATCCCAGAGCTCCAGGATGGGATCCCACCCCAAAACACCCCAGAAAACTGAACCCCAAAAAGGACCATAAAAACCCAGCAAAGGAAAATCAAGCCCAGAGAAATTAAAATTAATTTTCAGGCACTGGAGGGTCTCTGTGACCTCATGTGCAGGAGTTGGATTTATCAGCAAAGATTATCCAAAATCATTATTCCACTTTTCTGTTCCACTCCCTGCCATTCTGCTCATGCTGAAGCAGCCTCACAAAAGGGTTTTAGGAATGAATGAATGAATGAATGAATGAATGAAGCAGCTTCATCAATTTTATGGGAGTTTTGGCCAACTAATCCAGTTAGAAATATCTTTGGAAAAGCAGCAGGAATCGATATCCATCATGCCAGGCCCAGGAAATGCTGAGAACACAGAAACAAAGAGAAAAGTGGGGGGAAACTTCTAAATTATCAGTGAGACCCCAATTTTTATATTCTTAAAATAGAAAAATATTTTCAAATTAAAATTCAGAGGGAAATATGAACCTTTCAACAGATCTCTAGCAAAAAGCTGGGTGAAAAAGGAAAACCCCATTTTATTTGGATTATCCTAATGGACACAACATTAATTACCTTGTTCAACAGCATCTAAAGAATGAAATTTATGGTTCTGCTGTACAAAAATGAGTACAAGAAGTCCAACAGAGCAGAGGATGGTTTATGTCATAATGAGGAGGGATTCAGGCAGCAGCCAATAAAGACATTTGACCTGAACAATCAATTAGGCTGCCCATCGATCAGGCAAATACTAATAGGGAATAAAAGTGGAGCTATAGATCATTCAATGGAATTCTTGTAAGATGGAATTGGGGAGCTCCCAAATGGGAGCTTTATGATGTTTGAGTTGAAAAAAAAAAATTAAAAATTGTAGTTCTACAAGGAGGAGGGATTTGTTCTAGGGGAAAAGCGTTTAAAAAGAGAAAAAGTAATTTATTTGAGAGAGGATCAGGAAAAGAGTGTTTAACATTAAATGTTAAATTACATTTCTGATGGCCATCTCTGCTCACACTACAGGGCATTAACAACACACAGCTGACCACTGAAATACCACAGAATGTTAAACCTGGGGGGTGCAAGGCTGCTAAAATATTAATATATTAATATTATTCTATTAAACATTAAATTATTATTGCATAGCCATTCCCACCACCACTCCCTTTAATACCAGAAGTTCCTCAGGATGCTGAAATCAGTGTCAGCTTCATCCCAGAGCAAAGTGGGAAGATTTTCAGGTACATTGAGAAGGTCACAGCTGCACCCCAGGGCTTTCCCCTGCCCCTCCAGGAGCACAAGGTGAGAGTGAGAGTGCACAGCTCCCATCACAAACCCACCTGGGAGCTGGGCAGGGAAGGGAACACACCCAAACCTCAGGAACAGCTGCTCTGACCCTTCAGCACACCCAAGATGACTGGCAGAGTTCTCCTGGGATGATGGGAATGGAAAAGCAGCAGGATAATGGGGATGGGCACCCCCAAAGAGGCTGCAGTGATGCCTTGAGAAGGCTGAGATAGAACAGAGGCTGGGCAGAGTTACAGAATAAAGCAGGGATTTTTTAAAAGGCCTCAATGGATGCACCTTGGGCAGCACAAGAGCCCAGCCAGGG